TATAATCTTGGCACATCTAGCCACTGGGATTTTTGCCCATTCTTCAAGGCTAAACTGCTCCAGCTCCTTCAAGTTGGATGGGTTCTGCTGGTGTACAGCAATCTTTAAGTCATACCACAGATTCTCAATTGGATTGAGGTCTGGTCTTACCTAGGCCATTCAAATACATTTAAATGTTTTCCATTAAACCACTCGAGTTTTGCTTTAGCAGTATGCTTAAGGGCATTATCCTGCTGGAAGGTGAACCTCCGTCCCAGTCTCAAATCTCTGGAAGACTGAAACAGGTTTCCCTCAAGAATTTCCCTATATTTAGCGCCATCCATCATTCCTTCAATTCTGACCAGTTTCCCAGTCCCTGCCGATGAAAAACATCCCCACAGCATGATGCTGCCACCACCATGCTTCACTGTGGGGATGGTGTTCTCGAGGTGATGAGAGGTGTTGGGTTTGCGCCAGACATAGCGTTTTCCTTAATGGCCAAAAAGCTCAATTTTAGTCTCATCTGACCAGAGTACCTTCTTCCATATGTTTGGGGAGTCTCCCACATGCCTTTTGGCGAACACCAAACGTGTTTGCTTATTTTTTCTTTAAGCAATGGCTTTTTTTCTGGCCACTCTTCCATAAAGCCCAGCTCTGTGGAGTGTATGGCTTAAAGTGGTCCTATGGACAGATACTCCAATCTCCGCTGTGGAGCTTTGCAGCTCCTTCAGGGTTATTTTTGGTCTCTTTGTTGCCTCTCTGATTAATGCCCTCCTTGCCTGGTCCGTGAGTTTTGGTAGGCGGCCCTCTCTTGGCAGGTTTGTTGTGGTGACATACTCTTTCCATTTTTTTATTATGGATTTAATGGTGCTCCGTTGGATGTTCAAAGTTTCTGATATTTTTTTATAACCCAACCCTGATCTGTACTTCTCCACAACTTTGTCCCTGACCTGTTTGGAGAGCTCCTTGGTCTTCATGGTGCCGCTTGCTTGGTGGTGCCCGTGCTTAGTGGTGTTGCAGACTCTGGGGCCTTTCAGAACAGGTGTATATACACTGAGATCATGTGACAGATCATGTGACACTTAGATTGCACACAGGTGGACTTTATTTAACTAATTATATGACTTCTGAAGGTAATTGGTTGCACCATCTTATTTAGGGGCTTCATAACAAAGGGGGTGAATACATATGCACGCACCACTTTTCCGTTATTTATTTTGTATATATTTTTTTAAACAAGTTATTTTTTTCATTTCCCTTCACCAATTTGAACTATTTTGTGTATGTCCATTACATGAAAACCAAATAAAAATCCATTTAAATTACAGGTTGTAATGCAACAAAATAAGAAAAACGCCAAGGGGGATGAATACTTTTGCAAGGCACTGTAACGTTACACAGTGCTACTTCATAATGATGTTTTAATGAGGGGAAGTTAGGAGAGTAACTATGATTTAAAGAGATAAAAATGTTCACAACAGCAACAACGACTTCTCTCACAGTGGAAAAATGTGTGCTTTAGTCACTATTCTCAGAACCAGAGCTGCTATAGATATACACAGTCATGACTTTACTAGGTCTGTGTCCCAAATGGAGCGGAATCCCCTGTACAATGCACTTCTTTTGACCCCTCTCGGCCTGCCTCTATCTGCGTCCCAGTGGTACCCTATTCCCTATGGGCCCTGGTCAAAAGTAGTGCACTACATAGGGAACAGGGTGCCATTTGGGACGCATACTAACTCACAATCTCAAACCAACTCTGTCCCAGGCCCAGCATGCATGGGAAAGAGTCAACTGGAAAAAACCAACCGTGTCCCAGGCCCAGCATGCATGGGAAAGAGTCAACTGGAAAAAACCAACCGTGTCCCAGGCCCAGCATGCATGGGAAAGAGTCAACTGGAAAAAAACAACCGTGTCCCAGGCCCAGCATGCATGGGAAAGAGTCAACTGGAAAAAACCAACCATGTCCCAGACCCAGCATGCATGTAAAACAATGCCAGTGAGTCCTGGTGCTTTATAATGGGCCTAGAGTAAACATGACTCTCGTAGCTCCGTTCACTCCTTCTCTGGAGAAGAGCCAGATCTGGGTTCCCACCCCTGTACTGACAGTGTGTGTGTGTTACCCTGTACTGTGCTCTGAGGATGAGGGACAAAGGAACAAGCTGTCTAGCAGCATAGATAGATAGACAATATGAGGCAAGGCATCACTGTAGACTAGTGTTCTGTTGGATACATTTGGGAACCAGCCTGAGTTGTATGGAGGAATTTAGTTAAAACATTTAATTTTGCATTTTCAAACTCAATTGGAAATGCAAATGGACATAATTATAAATCCATATTATGTTTGCAATTCCTTTTTCTAAATGGGTATGCATTTTTTTGTGACAAAATTCTAATTGAAATGCAAAAAAATATATTGCATTATCATTTTCATGATTGAGTATGCATAATGTCTGTCAATCTGAAATAGAAAAGTGTTTTTGATACTTAATTTCCATGGTACTATCCAGTACAACACTGACATTTAATTTCCTTGTTGTGACAACATGAATTATGACTAGAAGAAAAATATTTCTCAATTGACAATATTTTTTCCATACTCTGTGGTTTAAGACTGTCGAAATTCAAAAGATCAATCAAATTCGATAAATCGATCGCAATGCTTCATTTTGCTAGCTCATTTGCGTTATCATTTTCAACTTGTGTTGATTGTCAATCAAACACTGTGGGTGGGGAGGGCATCTTCACTGAGCAATGAGCACACGAAGGATCAACTTAGGTACTACTACTTGGATAAATAGGAGGCAGAGGTTGCAAGCGTAGAGGTAGATACTGTGTACAGCAGTGGAGGCTCCTCAGAGGAGGAAGGGGAGGACCATCCTCCTCAGTGAATTTCATAAAAATATATATTTTTAAACATTTAAAAAGTTATAATTTTTTAGATAAAACTATACTAAATATAATCACGTCACCAAATAATTGATTAAAACACACTATTTTGCAATGAAGGTCCACAGTAGCCTCAACAGCTATCTGTAGGGTAGTAGCATGGTGTAGCCGGAGGACAGCTAGCTTCCGTCCTCCTCTGGGTACATCGACTTCAATACAAAACATAGGAGGCTCATGTTTCTCACCCCCTTCCATAGACTTACACAGTAATGATGACAACTTCCGGAGGACGTCCTCCAACCTATCATAGCTCTTGGAGCATGAACTGACATGTTGTCCACCCAATCAAAGGATCAGAGAATGAATCTAGTACTGAAAGCATAAGCTACAGCTAGCTAGCACTACAGTGCATAAAATGTGGTGAGTAGTTGACTCAAAGAGAGAGAAAGACAATAGTTGAACAGTTTTGAACAAATTAATTTCTTCCAAAATGAAGGAGAAGCAAGAGAGAGAGAGAGAGAGAGAGATTGTCATTTTCTTTCCACTTTCAGTTTCACTTACTTAGCTAGCAAATGCAGCTAGCTAGTTTAGCCTACTAAATTACCCTGCTCAAACAGAGGGATGCTATGTTAGCTAGAGGGCTATGACTTTCCAACACAACACTGGAACTCTTCCAAGTCAAGGTAAGCTTTTGGTTTGACTAATGTATTGCCACCGGGGCCCGGCCGGTGTAAGTGCTAAACTGCTTACTGACTGTACACCGTAACGTTACTGCATGATTGTAGTGGATGTACTAACACGTTAGTTCTATTAGCTATGTTGACTATGACGTTACTTTAGCTAATATGGTGACAACGATGTAGGATGTGTGTAGCGGTTATGATATGGTTTGGCTTGGAAAAGTTTTTTCGTCTGGTCACATACAGCTGATGTGTTGTGCATTGAAGTCTACAAGCGAAGGGACAAGGTGAGAGGAGGAGAGGGCGTAGATGCGAGAAGGTATACAACGTGGCTGCTATGAAAGTGTTGAAAAACATTTATTAAACGGAAACAAACGGAACAAAATGGGGATAAATATACCTGAATTTGTCCAATAGAAACTCAGGTTTTCAACTGTTGGACTAATGATTACACTCTATATCAGTAAGATGAAGACAAGAGTGTGCAAGGCGGTACTGTCTGTCCTTGTCTGTCCATGTGTCACTGTCTGCCACCTCAAATCTTTCTCTCGACCTGTGTGCACCTACGTTGTAAGCTAGGTTGTAGCAACCTCATGATGGTTATAGGGAACATTAGGGTATCATGTAGTAGCCTAAACCTATCGATGTTACATTGAACTGGGTGAATGGAATATGAATGAGAGTCATCCAATACGCTGTAATAGAAATAAAGACATGAAAAAAGATTGTCCTCCCTCATCTTAAAACGGCACCGACCGCCACTGGCGTACTGTGAGTTTACAAGTCATTACAAGTCATTACTTGGCAGTGATTGTGCAACCGAAAGACACATTGTATCACACTGTGAACAGACCGTGTGGACCACCTTTCCTCCTCATAGGCAGTACTCAAATGAGTTGGACATGTTGCAGAGTTACTGTCATGTTGCTGAGTTGGACTGCAGAGATACTGTCATCATGTTGCTGAGTTGGACTGCAGAGATACTGTCGTCATGTTGCTGAGTTCTATTCATATTGTAGTCCCATGATCCTCCCCACGGAGTTCTATTCATATTGTAGTCCCATGATCCTCCTCAGAGTTCTATTCATATTGTAGTAACATGACCATTCCCCACTGAGTTCTTGTATGCAACATTTTGTTTATTGCAAGTCAAGCCTTCGTTTGCCAGTAAATATTGTCAACATTACAGTATTTAATTGTTATATCCCACAGGGGACAGTACCAGATTATCTTTCATATGGACTAGAATCAGTCTGATTCTTATGAGTTCCTGTTGTCTGATTTGAAGGCTACAAAAGCCTTTTCTATATTAGCTCAGTTTCTCCAGACCTGACAGTGTGCCTTTCAACTCATCTATATTTTGTTCCAACCCTCAGGAAACTATGACGTCATTGCTGTGTAAGGTAACCCCAGCAGCTCCGCCAGCAGACGCTGCCCCGTTCGGTCTTCCAGATGCTGCTGACCAAGCTGCCCCGTTCGGTCTTCCAGATGCTGCTGACCAAGCTGCCCCGTTCGGTCTTCCAGATGCTGCTGACCAAGCTGCCCCGTTCGGTCTTCCAGATGCTGCTGCCCCCTCCTGTCTTCCAGATGCTGCTGCCCCCTCCTGTCTTCCAGATGCTGCTGACCAAGCTGCCCCTTCCTGTCTTCCAGATGCTACTGACCAAGCTGCCCCCTCCTGTCTTCCAGATGCTGCTGCCCCGTTCGGTCTTCTAGATGCTGCTGACCAAGCTGCCCCCTCCTGTCTTCCAGATGCTGCTGACCAAGCTGCCCCGTTCGGTCTTCCAGATGCTGCTGACCAAGCTGCCCCGTTCGGTCTTCCAGATGCTGCTGACCAAGCTGCCCCCTCCTGTCTTCCAGATGCTGCTAACCAAGCTGCCCCCTCCTGTCTTCCAGATGCTGCTGCCCCCTCCTGTCTTCCAGATGCTGCTGCCCCCTCCTGTCTTCCAGATGCTACTGACCAAGCTGCCCCCTCCTGTCTTCCAGATGCTGCTGACCCCTCCTGTCTTCCAGATGCTGCTGCCCCCTCCTGTCTTCCAGATGCTGCTGACCAAGCTGCCCCCTCCGGTCTTCCAGATGCTGCTGACCAAGCTGCCCCCTCCTGTCTTCCAGATGCTGCTGACCAAGCTGCCCCCTCCTGTCTTCCAGATGCTGCTGACCAAGCTGCCCCCTCCCGTCTTCCAGATGCTACTGACCAAGCTGCCCCTCCTGTCTTCCAGATGCTGCTGACCAAGCTGCCCCCTCCTGTCTTCCAGATGCTGCTGACCAGGCTGCCCCTTCTGTCTTCCAGATGCTGCTGACCAAGCTGGGGGCCCCCCGTCTTCCCGATGCTCGGGCCCCCCCCGTCTTCCGATGCTGCTGACCAAAACTGTCCCCTTCGTCTTCCAGATGTGCTGACCAAACTGTTTCCCCCTTTTGTCTTTCCAAAAATGCTGCTGACCCAAACTTTCCCCCCTTTTGTCTTCCCGGGTGCTGTGAAAAGCTTTCCCCCCTCCCGTCTTCCGATGTGTCCCAAATGCCCCCCCTGTTTTTTTCCAGATGCTGCTTTCCCCCTTCGGGCTTCCCGTGCTTTGCTTTACCCAAGGGTGCCCCCCCTGTCTTCCAGATTTTTTCTGACCAAAACTTTCCCCCTTTGTTTTCCCGATGCGTTTCCCCCCCCTGTCTTCCAGATGCTCGGGCCAAAATGCCCCCTTTGGTCTTTTCCCGATTTCTGCTGACCAAAACTTTCCCCGTTCGGGGTTTTCCCGATGGGACCAAGTGCCCCGTTTGGTCTTCCAAAATTTTGCTGACCAAAACTGCCCCCTTGGTCTTCCAGATTTCTGCGACCAAGCGCCCCCCCTTTTGCTTCCAGGTGCTGCTGACCAAGGCGGGCCCCCTTCGGGCTTTCCCGATGTTTCTGACCCAAACTGCCCCGTTCGGTCTTCCCGTGCTTTTGACCAAACTGCCCCGTTGGTCTTTTAAAATGTTTTGACCAAAACTGCCCCCTCCGTCTTCCAGATGTGCTGACCAAGCTGCCCCCCCCTGTTTCCAAAAATGCTGTGACCAAAGGGGCCCCCCTTTTTTCCAGAGCTGCTGACCCAAACTGCCCCCCCCCTTCTTCCAGTTGCTTGCTGACCAAGCTGCCCCCCCCTGTCTTCCAGATGCGGGGACCCAAACTGCCCCCCTTTAGTCTTTAGATGCTGTGACCAAAATTTCCCCCCTTTGTCTTCTAGATGCGGTGACCAACTTCCCCCCCCTGTTTTTCCCCCGGGTTGCCCCAAAACTTTCCCCCCCCGGGTTTTCCCGTGCGCTGCCCCCTCCTGTTTTTCCCCCCGGGTGCTGACCAAGCTGCCCCCTTCTGTCTTCCAGATGCTGCTGCCCCCTCCTGTCTTCCAGATGCTGCTGACCAAGCTGCCCCCTCCTGTCTTCCAGATGCTGCTGCCCCCTCCTGTCTTCCAGATGCTGCTGACCAAGCTGCCCCCTTCTGTCTTCCAGATGCTGCTGCCCCCTCCTGTCTTCCAGATGCTGCTGACCAAGCTGCCCCCTCCTGTCTTCCAGATGCTGCTGACCAAGCTGTCCCCTTCTGTCTTCCAGATGCTGCTGACCAAGCTGCCCCCTCCTGTCTTCCAGATGCTGCTGACCAAGCTGCCCATCATCAGACAGGTAAGGATGCTCTCCCAGAGGAAGCCAGGGCTGGAGGTGCACCAACATGGCTGAAAGATGACTTGATGCCCCCTCCCCTCACCCTACTCAATAAGCCCACACTCTGGTAAATTGAGTGAATGAATGATTGGTTGTAACAACATGCACTAAACCGGAGCATACAGTTATTGTGAACAATAAAAAAACAGTAGGATGTGTGAATTGAATTGTGACTAATGCACTTACTATGAGTTGTACATTGATAATCTGTGTTTTAGGTGTCCATCCATGCTAACCTTTCTGCATCATTTGTGCTCCTTATTCACAGGCGGTTCTGGCTGATAGAAATCGAGAAGGAATATCATCCCCAATGATAGTACTAATATTTCTAACGGCACTAATGAGGAAGAGGAGAGCAGGATTCTCCATTGTCGCTGAACTGCTTGAAGTGTCCAGTCAAAATTACAGTGCCACTTTGTTACCACTAGTCACATGTTCAAAAGGATGTTCTGCTAAAATGATAACAATGCAGAAATGTTGTTGCTCTTCAATGAGGTTCTGCCAATCACACGTCGGAAACCATTATCGAGGAAACCTACAGTAGTCGAAACACTTTGTGTGGATAGTAACCTGTTTGTTGAACACCAGTGATTCAAAGAACAAAGAATAACTATTACCTGTAGGACAATGTCTCTATCACAGGTCACCAAGGGTACAGTAAGGTGTATCCTTAATAAAAACATTTTTGATGGTTAATTGTGTGTGCCTCTCATTGCATGCCTCCAGACAACATGGAACAACTTAATACGCAATACCAACTCAGTGCCCTTGTTGTTAGTGTCCTCCCTGAGATTTGAAGGTTGGACAGTTCGATCCCTGGCTGAGACATACCAAGACTGTAAAAATGGGACCCGATGTGTCTTGGCACTAGAGATAGATCGGGGGGGTAAGGCCCTGCGATAGACTAGCGTCCTGTCCAGGGGGGTGTACTTGTACATCAAGCTGTCTCACTACAGAAACAGGAGATAGACTAGCGTCCTGTCCAGGGGGTGTACTGTACATCAAGCTGCCTCACTACAGAAACAGGAGATAGACTAGCGTCCTGTCCAGGGGGTGTACTGTACATCAAGCTGTCTCACTACAGAAACAGGAGATAGACTAGCGTCCTGTCCAGGGGGTGTACTTGTACATCAAGCTGTCTCACTACAGAAACAGGAGATAGACTAGCATCCTGTCAAGGGGGGTGTTCTTGTACATCAAGCTGCCTCACACTACAGAAACAAGTTCCTGCTCCTATGAGTCGTTGTGGCTCGCCACAAGCCAAGGCTTGTTTATTTACTTTGGCTTGCAGCTTTAACAGTATTGAGTCAAGGAACAGCTTTACTGCTCAAGAAAATATGGAGTCACAGTACTGAAGGGGCAGAGCAGGCAGGTGGACTTCCTGTCGCTTGTGGGGACATCCTGATGGTGCCATGACATTGTAAATACTGTCCCACCAAGGACTAAGTCCAAGACTAATGGTTCCTTCTCCCTCTCTCACACACACAGTCACTATGTCAATATATATTTATTTATTTTACCTTTATTTAACTAGGCAAGTCAGTTAAGAACAAATTCTTATTTACAATGACGGCCTACACCGGCCAAACCCGGACGACGCTGGGCCAATTGTGCGCCGCCCTATGGGACTCCCAATCACGGCCGGTTGTGATACAGCCTGGAATCGAACCAGGGGGTCTGTAGTGACGCCTCAAGCACTGAGATGCAGTGCCTTAGAGCACTGCGCCACTCGGGAGCCCATATACAGTGCCTTCGGAAATTGTTCAGACCCCTTGACGTTTTCCACATTTTGTTACATTACAGCCTTATTCTAAAATTGTCCCTCAATCTACACACAATACCCCATAATGACAAAGCAAAAACAGGTTTTTAGATTTCTTTGCAAATGTATTCTAAATTAAAAAACGGAAATATCACATTTACATACAGTGAGGGAAAAAAGTATTTCATCCCCTGCTGATTTTGTACGTTTGCCCACTGACAAAGAAATGATCAGTCTATAATTTTAATGGTAGGTTTATTTGAACTGTGAGAGACAGAATAACAACAAGAAAATCCAGAAAAACGCATGTCAAAAATGTTATAAATTGATTTGCATTTTAAATGAGGGAAATATTGTAATGCAATCTATTACTTTGAATGTGAATTTTGTCACAAAAAATGCATACCCATTTAGGAAAAGGAATTGAAAACATGATATTGATTTATCATTTGCCCATTGGAATTTAAGATTTAATTAAGTCAGTCATTCATAGACTTCCATAGGGTTGTGGGTCAAAACAAAAATTGGAATTTCAGTTCACTGCCTGAATCGACTGAACTGAAATGGAATTGACCCCATGTCACGGTTTCGGCCGAGGCTGCCTCTCTCCCTTGTTCGGGCAGGCTTCGGCGTTCGTCGTCTCCGGAATTCTAGCTGCCACCGCTAGATGTTTCATGTTCGTTTGCTTTTGTCTGTTTGTTTCCACACCTGTTTCTGTTTTACGTAATTAGTGTCCTATAAGTTTCTCGTTGTGTTTGTCTAGTGTTGTGTGTGATTGTTTCCGTCAGTGTTGTGTTTTGCTCGGTTGAGCGTATTTCTCCACTGTGCTGGAGCTTATTTGCACCTGTGTGTGCACCGTTTCATTTTGTCGCACCTGTTAGTGCGCATTTACCTTTCGCCTTCGTGCGTGTTTTTTGCTGTCGGGCTTAGTTGTCCTGTTGCCTGTGTTGGGCCAGTAATACAGCCTTTGGAACATTCAGTCTGCGTCCTGCGTTTGATTCCCACACTACACCTACAACACGCCCTGACAGAATCACACACCCCCAATGGAATCAGCAGGAGCCGAAGCAGCCCAGACGAGACTGGAAGCCCAGGTTCGGGACCAGCAAGAGCAGCTCCTGCAGATGGGGACCGCCCTGCAGGAGGTGATTACCACACTCCGAGGCTGGGGTTCGCCTCCACCGCCGCCCGCCCTGCCAGCACCATCGGCCAGCCCGCCCATTCCAGCGCCGGAACCTCGAGGAGTCCGACTATCTCTCCCGAGGGCCTACGACGCCGCGGCTGGGTGTCAGGGATTCCTGCTCCAGGTAGAGCTATACCTGGCCACAGTGCACCCGGCACCTTCAGGGCATGAGAGCGTGTCCGCCCTGATCTCCTGCCTGGCCGGAAAAGCGTTGGAGTGGGCCAACGCGGAGTGGAGGAAGATCGACGCCACGACGATTACGTACACCGAGTTCTCCCGCCGCTTCAGGGCGGTGTTGACCATCCCCCGGAGGGGAGAGCGGCGGGGGAGCGTCTGGTCTTCCTCCGGCAGGGGAGGAGAAGTGCCCAGGAATTCGCGCTCGAATTCCGTACTCTAGCGGCAGATGCAGGGTGGAATGATCGGGCCCCTCATCGATCTATACCGATGCAGCCTACGAGAGGACGTCCGTCGGGAGCTGGCTTGTAGGGACACCAGCCTCACTTTCGACCAGCTGGTTGATATGTCCATCAGGCTGGATACCCTGCTGGCTACCCGCGGACGTCCTGCGGAGGGTCCGTCCATTCCACCCTCCAGCGCCTCCGAGCCTTGTCCTATGGAGCTCGGGGGCGCTGGCGCTAGAGAGAGGAGGAGTCGGCAGGCTAGGGGGTCCATCCACTGCACCAACTGTGGTCGGGGAGGACACACCGCGGCTAGGTGCTGGGGATGGCCTCCTAGGGGAGATGACGACAGGTCCCGCACTGGGGATTCCCTCCAGGTGAGTAGGCGCCCCACTCACCCAGAGCTCACTGTTGCCCATTTTTGTATGCCTGTACGTTTTCCACAGGTAGCACCTCATTCCCAGCATAAGGCGCTGGTAGATTCAGGCGCGGCTGGGAATTTTATTGATAAAAAGTTTTGTTTAGCGTTAGGGATTCCCCTCATTCCTGTTGATGTTCCTTTTCCCGTTCACGCCCTAGATAGTCGTCCGTTGGGTACGGGCTTAATCAGGGAGGTCACGGCGCCACTTAGGATGTGTGCGCAGGGGGATCATCAGGAGATGATTCAGCTGTTCCTGATTGACTCTCCTGCGTATCCGGTGGTGCTGGGCATGCCCTGGTTGAGTACCCATAACCCAGCGATTTCGTGGCAGGAGAGGGCTCTGATGGAGTGGTCTGCTCAGTGTGTGGGTAGATGTTTGGCCGTTTCCGTAGGGGCTACCTCGGTGGAGAGTCCAAACCAGGTGCCCGCATTGCACGTTCCACCTGAGTATGGGGATTTGGCTATTGCGTTTAGTAAGGCGAGGGCGACGCGGTTGCCACCCCATAGGCAGGGGGATTGTGCGATAAACCTCCAGGCAGGAGCTGCACTCCCACGGAGCCATGTGTATCCTCTGTCTCAGGAGGAGAAGAAAGCTATGGAGATTTACATAGACGAATCGCTGAGACAAGGATACATACGGCCGTCCACTTCCCCCGCGTCCTCGAGTTTCTTTTTCGTGAAGAAAAAGGATGGTGGTTTGCGTCCGTGCATCGATTACCGTGGTCTCAATCAGATTACGGTGAAGTATAGTTATCCACTCCCGCTGATTGCGACCATGACTGAGTCGTTGCATGGGGCGCGTTTCTTCACGAAATTAGATCTCAGGAGCGCGTACAACTTGGTGCGCATCAGGGAGGGTGATGAATGGAAAACAGCCTTTAGTACCCACCTCGGGCCATTACGAGTATCTGGTCATGCCATACGGGTTGATGAACGCTCCATCAGTTTTCCAATCATTTGTGGATGAGATCTTCAGGGACATGCAGGGGCAGGGGGTGGTGGTGTACATTGATGACATTCTCGTGTACTCACCTACCCGTGTCGAGCATGTGGCCCTGGTGCGCAGGGTGTTGCGGAGGCTGGTGGAGCACGACCTGTATGTAAAGGCAGAGAAGTGTCTGTTTTTCCAGGAGTCGGTCTCCTTTTTGGGTTATCAGTTGTCTGCGTCAGGGGTGAAGATGGAGGTAGACCGGGTGTCGGCCGTGCGTAATTGGCAAACACCAACCACTGTGAAGGAGGTGCAGCAGTTTT